CACTAATTACTGTAACAATGACATTCTGCATATGCGTCAAAAACCCATTCAGGTCATACGAGCGTCGACGTTTCGTTTCTAGCAAGATCTTGTTTTTTATGGTCTTTCATGATTTTAATTGGATATGTTTGTGTTGCTTCGATGAAGGGATATGATTGAAGAGTGTACTTACAAAAAGCTTATTGAGCTGCGATGTTTTGGAAGCGTTCAGGGGACTCTCAAACCGTATGTCGTTTCTGAAAAGTGTTTTGCTCAGTAATCAACGAGAACTAGCCCAATTCCAAGATCGATGCGTTTGCATAGATTGTGCCTTCGAAATATAACGTAATGAGTCGGACATCGGAAAGAGTGAGTAAAAGTATTCTAAACTATTTTCCTCTTAAGTCAGGAAAGCGTTTTCTTATTAGCGGGTTTTGAACAAGTATCCACGTGGGTTGTACTGATACGGTGGTACGATATCGTGCTCGAGAGTGATGGCGTGTATGCCTTGAGTATCAGAGCCAATCGATATGTCGGCTTCTCTAGTCAGCATCTGCTTGAATTAAGTCATTTTTATGTGCTCTCCATCAATATTTTTGTCCATAGTCAGCTTTTGTAGGGACTGCAACAGATTCTCAAGATTATCTCATCGAAATAGATCTTGTTATCTTACTTATGAATAGTTTGCTTGAGTTTTAGGTAGCGTCACACACCTCGAAATGACTGCTGTGGTTGAATGCGCAGATGTTGTGATTATTGAAAATAAGCCTCCAATAGAGGTTTGATATATTTTCTTCGTTTCAGAAATAACTAGGCAGTGCCGAGACGTTCTCATAATCCGATCCGGGCTACGCCTTGTCTTTATTTTCTTTGTCTTCTTTTCTCTATTGCGGAGCGCAAGATATCCTGGTATATTACAGCCGCAATACATTGAAATCCTTAGATCAAGCACCACTTTGAAGCAGTCCGTAGCATTTCTACTTTAGCGCATTGCCAACTGCTGCTTAGAACTGGTGTTAGAGGAATGCAAGGGCTTGATTGAAAGGTTGCCTTTTGGAGTTTTCTGAAAGCTTTATTATGTTCTCAATGCTGCTATAACTTGCGGTTTTACGGGGTCGTTTCGGGGCACTTCTTCTGCGCGCTTGGAATAATTTATGAAGCTTGATGATCGACTGATCAGCGACATCAGCCTATTACGCCCAACTG